AAACCCCAAATCCTAAACCCTAAACCCTAAACCCTAAGCCCCAAACCCCAAATCCTAAACCCTAAACCCTAAGCCCTAAACCCTAAACCCCAAATCCTAAACCCTAAATCCTAAACCCTCTAAACCCTAAACCCCAAATCCTAAACCCTAAACCCAACCCTAAACCCTAAGCCCTCTTCTCCTCGATTTGAGGGAGTCCTCACGGCACCATAGATTCGGCCCTCGGTGGTCCTGAAGTATCGGAGTGGGGACCTGCAAAAACCCGAAGAATGTAAGGGCCTTCATAGTTAAAATAGGGTCCCTTAAAGGGGTTACTATAAGGGCTACTACAAGATGTAGGGGCCTTAGTAATTAGCATAGGGGTTTCTGGGTCCGATAGACTATTATAATAAGGAGCCCCCCCCAAAATAGTCTATATTGGTATTTCTGTACATTAAGCTCTTGTGGAATCAGAGACCCACATCTTCAGGAGGCTCCGTCCCATGGGTAGTTCTCTAGATTAGGGTGCTTTCTTAGGCCCCCAAAATAGTAGCGGCACCCTTATAAAAAGGACCCTCAACGGGACCCTAATTTAGACAACTACCCACATGTTCTTCAGCAAACATCCTGGATAGAGGCTGGACCAGCCCTCCTTCCAGCACAGCCAAGCCACACCAGATCCATGATCATGGTGTTCACACCAGCCGCATCCAGCATGGGCATGACCTGTAAAGTGACTCTGCAGGGTTCAGTGCGGGGCTTGGAACAAGTAGTAGTCAGCCCAATTACATGGACAGGGCTGTCCACTTGTAGGTTTAATCCAGCCATCCTTCAAATCCCTACCTGAAGCCTTTTTTGCAGGAGCCTCTTCATGTATGCAAGAACCCAAACCGAAGTTAGTTCCCGAAATGAGGCCCACATAATGCGCATGTACACAGGCCAATCCCGGAACCCTAAACTCCGCACGCACACACCCTCAATCCTAAACCTTCCTCATCCTACATACCAAGGTGGGAAAGGGCAATACCAAACATGCTCACAACCTGACGATTTCAGGTTTTGCATTTAAATGGTCTGGTAGTCGAAACTTGGAGCCCGACCAAATTCGGAGGTTTTAGGTTTTTTGGTAGTACATTATTTTTGCGACTTGCTTTTGTCATGATTGCCCTGTTCTACTTGTCGTGTTGACCGCATACTCTGCATCTGCGGATGTTAAAAGTTGCCTGCGTTCTGTCTGAGATCGTCGTCGCGCAGCCTGTTGTTGCTCCCATTCATGTTGAAACCATTGCTGTCACCTGCTGCTATAGAACCGAGATTACGGTGTCGCATCATTGCCATATGTCTCACCGAAGGCTCTGTGATGATAGCGTTTGGTGACCGCAAGGGTGCTTCTCAGAGTGACGATGGTCAGGATTGACACTGGTTGCGAGCATGGCGATGCTGCTGCTGAGGGAGAACAGGAAAACGTTAATTAGTAGCCCACTAGTGCTAGTACGATGGTCATCTGCTACATTACTATTGCTGGTACTATTGTGGTATGATGGCGGTAAAGATGCTGCTGCTGATTATGATGATGATGGTGATGATGATGATGAAACCCTAAACCCTAAACCCTGAACCCTAGTCATTGTGATGATGATGATGATGATGATGATGATGGCGATGGGTTTTGCTAGTGCGGCCCGTGGGGCCTGCCAGTTCATGGGCTGCCCAGAGGAAGCCACGTCTTTCGCCAGCTTGAAGACTCGGCAGAGGTTGACCTGTCTTACGGGGGAAAACTCTTAGGGCTTTTGTAGGGTCTGTGAGGTTAGGGCTTATAGGGTTTAGGTTTAAGGTCAGGGTTTAGGTTTAAGGGGTCAGGGTTTTGGGCTTAGGGTTTCCTTCGACTCTCGCAGCTTGGACAATCCAGGCAAGGAGCCTGAGTTCGTTGAGCGATTCGATAAGCTGCTACATTGAACAGCTCACTGCAGCAAAGAGTTTCGGGTCTAGGGCTGGGGGGGGCCTGGACCCCGAACCCCAAATCCCACACCTTTTACGCATTGTAGTCTGGGGCCTAAGGACGGTGCTGTATGCTGCAGACCACTCAAGAGGACAAAGTGGGCCAGGCACCCAATCGTTTTTGTGAAGGCCTACTCTGAAGGGTTACACTTAGACTTTGGCTCCGCTTACATCCCGCCGAGCCGAGCCAAGATATTCGCGGCTCAAGCCTGAAGCCACAACCATCTAGGGCCACGGTTTAGGGCTTAGGGTTTGAGCTAAGTTTCTTTTGAGGTTTCATAAGAACTGTATACCGTATAATGGGGTGGACGCTCTCAGTGTCCCCTACAATCCCTTTCTTGGTATCCTCCCAGCCCATCCTACAATCTCGAAGTGCTATCTCGCAACCAAGCAGTGATTCATGGACTGCAAGAAGCCTTACATTGTAACACAGAAACTTCCGCCCGCCCTCCAACCATGAAAGCTGTAAGCCCAAAATCCCGAAACCCCAACAGGAAAAAAGCCGAAGCCAAAACTTGAAATCCCGAAAGTCTATTTAAAAAAACCCTGAGCTCTAAACCCGAAGCCCGAAACCCAACAAAAAACCCTCAGCCTGAAACCCGAAGCCCGAAAGGGAAGCCAGCCTTGTCTGCACCCTTCATGGTCTTCATCGAGTTCATAAACGCCACAAAGGCTGCCGGCACCTTCTGGAATCCATCCCAAGCTGCCTCGAAACTGTGTGGTAGAGTCAGTCGAGGTCCGGTTTAGGGCTTCGGGTCGGCGGGTGTAGGGTGGAGGCTAGGATTTGGGGGGTTCGCGAGGAAGAGTTGGTGATTTCAACAGGTCCCGCACATACTTCACCTGGTATTGTGCCAGCTCGCTTTGAAGCTTAAGTGTGGCTTTCTGCGTGCACGCGCCTTTCTGCAAGTGCGAACAGGCGCATACCCATGTCTGCACCTCTACATGTCCTTGTGTTAATCAATTATAGGATTCTGATCAATTTCAAAGATGTCACACAAGGTACTCTTGCTTGCTGCAACTTCCAAAGAAAGCACGGCGCTGCCTGCTTCTGCTCTTCAGAAAGCGTGGGCTCGGTCAGTTCGTCGATACGCCCAAAGAACGTCATCAACTTCTTCATCATCTGCGCCTTAGGGCCGAAGGGCTTGTAACCACATCCTTAAAAGCCCCAAAACCCCGAAACCCTATAAGTTCAGAAAAGGGGGATTGACCCCCACTTGCTCTTCAAACGCTCTTCGGCTTTCTCCTGTTTCGACCTATACTATTTTGGGGGTCCCTTCTTATAATTATAGTACAATATACCCCCAAAACCCTATTCTAGTTATTAAGGCCCCTAAACCCTAAACCCTTATAGTAGCCCTTATAGAACCCTTTAAGGATCCCTTTAAAGGAACCCCCAAAACCCTATTCTAACTATTAAGGCCCCTACATTAGCTTCTCTAAACCCTAAACCCTAAACCTCAAACCCCAAAACCCTATTCTAATTCTTAAGACCGCATGAATTAGCTTCCGG